CGTGCGCCGAGGATAAAGGACTACGGGTCGTGGCTCAAGCATTGCAGGTTTTAGCTAAAGGAACATCTATGGTCAACACAAAGAGTACGCAATCAAAGTCTGCATACATATCGTTTCAAGAATTCTGACCCGATAAGAAACGACAGCAAGGCCACTGTTGTCGGTTCGTTACCATATCCTTCAATGTCTCCAACCAATCGGTTGAGGAGCCTTTCAAACCCCATGGATGGTGTGAGACACCTACTCTACGTAATGGCTCTGCATTTTTCCATACCACACCGCGTCACCTGTTGACCTCCACGTGGTTTCCTCAAGCCCGCAGCGGCTATATCGAATAAATCGCTTTGCGGCAGACGAAAGCTGGGCATATGCAATACGTGCCCTAGTCAGCGAAGCCTACCAATGCGAATTCGGTGTGCTAGCAGGTTTATCCCTTTTAAAGCCACAAACAGGCGACGACTGACCTCCAAATTACTAACCCGTTCGCTCCATCCCACATGGGCTAAACTACGTAAACACTGATAATGGAAAACTTCTAGTCGATGGATATCTTCTACTCGCAAATTCAAGGTCTCACAGCCGTAGAGCAGAACTGAACGAACGGTGGCACTATATATACGACCTTTCAACTTCAGTGAAACGTCGCGTTTAAGCCAAAGGCGTTTCAGTCCTGCGTACGCCAATCGAAACTTGAAAATGCGGGCAGTTATCTGCTTTGCAGCACTACCGTCATTAATAACATAACTACTTAGGTGGGAAAAGGAATTTATTTCACCTAATTGCTGGTCATTTGGTTTGAAAGCGGGAGTAAGCGACGCCCAGTCTTGCAACATTAATTTGCACTATGAAGGTGAAAAACACATACCGAGTGTGGCAACAGCACACTCTCCCTACATTTGCACAGACACGATATCATCGAGGTAATCCAAATCGCACACTTTTCTTTGACTGCCCATTCAATACCTACATTTTGCAGACCGCTAAGTGCTTTCACCAGACTTCAATCTACTACGTATTTTAACAGGAATGGCAAAAAAGGGCACCCTTGACGAACGCAGTTGCGGATGCGAAACGACCTACTTAATTCGTTGTAAACCCTCACTCGATTAGTGATAGGGAAAAGAAAATTTTACCCAATAAAAGTGACTATTTCGCGGTATGCCAAATCCCATCAGTGCTAACAATTCGTCTGTGCGTGCACGGACACCGACCTACGCAGAACTAAGGCACAGCATGGACAAATAGTCCAGGAAATCCTAATATCGGCTAATAGGCTGGTGAACGAATCACACCCGAGTGATCAAGGTGAAACGACGTGCACCAGCGTCATCGATCGCTTATCACATGTAAGAGACTGGACGCGGCATTAAAAGGTGTTCTCATTGCGCAACACTCTCGGTTGCTCCAGTTTGCAGAGGCTGTTGCTACTAAACGACAGAAACGGGAACTGTGCAAGCAGGAGTTATTGCAACTCTGAACTTGGTTGAGTAGATAGATGAAAGAATTCAACACCAACATCATATCCACGGTTCAATATATTTTTTGAATGTAGTATGCACCGGAGGATATCCAAAGAAATTTTTCCGGCAATAAACTGTGCAACACTGAGCCGCTGTGTTCTTTATTGCCACTCATATCGGTCAAAGACTGTTTCTAATTAACTGAAAATTCCCATTGTAACATTGACAAAACAACGCGAGTAGCGAACAAGCTCGTTTTCGATAACTTCATCCTCTGGCTAATACAGTTATATACATTTAGTGAATAGGACCTAAGTGTGTGACCTCTCCCTTCCTGTTTCATTCCTCTTTCCCCTCCTTCTCCTTTCTCTGTTTTCACGATTCCCCATTCTAAAAGCACAGATCAACAGTTTTTTGGTTTTGGTTTTCACCTCTTTCCCAACCACTTCTCACCACTCATTGCCGTCCAATCAACGCATTTTCGTTCTGACATTATTTGTTGCACGTTTATTCACTAAATGTATATAATTGCATTAGCCAGAGGATGAAGTTATCGAAAACGAGCTTGTTCGCTACTCGTGTTGTTCTGTTTCTAATTAGTGGCCGTTTCAAGAAATTTCACTATTCTTAGGCGACTAAGTTATATCTGCATTTTTAAAAATTGGTAGACAGGTCGGAATGTATACCAGTTCTACATTTCTATCAACTGGGAACGCCGTAGTCACTTGCGCAAAAACAAGTTTTCACGACAAAAAGGTCTCACCGTTTTGAGGCCTGTCGCTTGTTCGATCACAGAGCGGATTGGATTGATTCAACATTCCGAATCCGTTGGCATATTCGTATGCGAGATCACCGAGAAGGTCCGTTGGTGATACACCGGCTGCCGACATATGAGGAACGAAGACAGGTGAGATAGGTGCGGCAAAAGAAGTGCCTCGCACACTCCACGAAGTCAAAACACTCGGACTTGATGTCAGAAGTAAAATCAGATGAGGCCGAAATGAGCGAACCAAGGTCTTCAGCGAATTATGAGCCGATTGTAGCGCCTAAAATGAGATAGATGTGAGAAAAGAATGAAGGAAAGCGGAATAACGAATTGAGCAATACCACTTAGGATATCAGAAACAGTAGCACAGTGACAGAAAGCTGTTCCAGAAAACTGTGCAAACCGATCTGTCGTACATAAAAACATCAAGGAACAAGAAAATGACTTAAAATGAATAAGTTTGACTAATCGGGTTTATTGTGTAAACA